TTCATATGTGTCTTATCCATTGGGTTAGTCCCTTTGTTTTGTAGCTGTTATAGATTTTACTCACTTTTCTACCAGCACATTGAAGGATCTCTAACTGCCCTCAAATATTCCTTCTCCTACATTTAGTGTAGTCATTCTGTGTCTGGTATATTTGCTGCAAACACTTCTCGCAACTTGAGGGTTAGTCTACCTATATTTTATAGCTTTCTACATACAAAAGTTAACTCTTTACTTAGCATAGTGCATTTACTTTCCTCTTCCTCTCTGTAGCACTTAAAAACCCTTCACTTACTTGAAATCCGTTAAATAGTTGTCTGTGTTTTCTTTTACCTTCTTCTGGTTTCAGTTTTTAAATCACCAGTTATTTTCATACTCATTGTGGCTCACTGTGTGATTAACTAAAATGATCCCATCTGCAAGAGGAAAGCCCAGCTGAGAGCAAACTCAGGCGAGACCCTGCAGAACAGCACAGCCCACCTGAAGCTCCTTACCTGCTCACTATGAACAAAGTGCTACAAGACTTCCTAGATGTTTGGCATAGAGGGACCAAAAACTGACAAAAAGATATCATCCCAAAAATGCATTTTCAAGTAGGTATTTAAAAATATTATTTGGTGTATAAATATTGTAAAAAATTATACTAGCTCTTACCAGGTCTACCTATTTAAATTTCTGGTTTTATTGTAATTCTTCCTTTATGGCTGTTTTGTTAGTCTTGTTTTACAATAAGAAATCCCATGAATCTTCTTTTCTTTTTGAAAATTTCCCATTTGTTTTATTCTTCTGGATAAATTGAATAATATTAATGTATCCTCCATACCAAATTCCACTCGAATCTGTTATTATTTTGTTAAATATAAAGATTAATTTGTATGGCATGTTTATAACCTTGTACCCATGAGAGGAAAAAAATTAATGTTTAGCCACTATGAAGGCTTGCCACATGCCCTGTGCCCGTCCAAGGTATTTTCACTCCTCAACTCATATAATCTCCACTGCCATTTTCAGAAGAAGCTACCCCTTTACAGATGAGACTCTCAAGTACAGAGAGGACAGCAAAACTCCAAAAGCCACTGGCCTGGTAATTTCATGTTTGTTTTTCTTCAGTATGTAGTCATCTCAGCCTTTATATATATTTTTTACTTCTTTCTGACTTTACCCTGGTACTTTGCTCTTTTCCATTCTGAATTCTTCTGACTACTTACTTGTATTTTTCTCTTGTGTAATCAATCATATTATACTGTTCAGGAGTTTAAGTTCAGCTAATTTGAGTTGCCATGCTTTATTAGGAAGTCTTTTGTTGTGAGTCAGGGTCCCTTGTCTCACCTACACCACCATCGCCCAAAAAGAAAACAAGTGATTCCTGATGTAGACACTGGAGACAAATAGGAAGCCAGGAACTATGAGATACAGGGGGGGAAAGGAAGGAAACACAGGAAATTTCAGGATGAATCTCTATATGCATTGTGTAACTTCAAGGAAGCTGACAGTTTATTCACTTAAAAATTATTGAACACCTATTGTATGCCAGGAAGAGAATCTGAGACTTCGGTCTTCATCTGTTATGGCCATTTTGGGATGATACAGTTGGGAAGAAGAAAACTTTCCTAGGTCCTAGCCCAGGAAGTGCCAAGGTGAAGTGGGGAATTGTCTCCACTTTGCCCTTGCAGAAGTAAGCATTCCTCACTGTTCATCGTAAAGCAAAAGAGGTCTTTATAATTCATGATTCACACGAGAGGATGACAATTCAGCATAATTAGCATAGATTATTGAAAAGTTTCCAGGTTGAAACAACAATTCTCAGGCCTCGGTGGACTGGACTTTCATCCCCAGAGGACTTCTCAGGATCCAGTTCTGGCCCTTGAAACCAACAGCAGATCTAAGTCTGGCTGGGGTACCTGAAGCCCCAGTGAGCCCTAGTGTAACACGCAGGCTCTCAGCCATATGGTGTCCCCTGAGCCTGCTGTCCTCTGATCTATGCCAGAGTGGGCATATGCTGGGATATTTTAGGACCCTTGGGGGAGAGTCAAAATGTCATAGAGCCAGTATGAGCTTAAGCTTCCATTTCTCTTGTTTATGACATGAGCAGAAATGGAACCCGGGAGGAAGTAGAAAATGCCATTATTGATTCTAAAGCATGGCAAGTTGAGGTAGAGACATATGCATAAATACTTTGAAAAAACTTGAACTCCCTAAGATACGATTTGTTATTGCCTATAAAATAGGCTAAATACGAATAAAAGCAACTTCCTGTATTTACAGATTTCACACATTTGGTTTTACTCAAGCTTGATTTTCCATACTATGAAAAGGAAATGTCTAGAGTCATGATTATTGGTGACTTTTTGTCATTGTTGTTGAGGAGTACTTAGTTGGAGAGAATGTTCATAGGGATGAATCACGGCTTCAGTATTTAGGGTGTTATTAAAAAATAGATATAGACTGATTGGTACTTCAGTTCAAAGAGTTTTAGACCCTTCCTTCTATGTGAGGGCTAAGTATTTTCCCAGCCAGAGATAGTTGCCCCTGAGTAAGCATGCTGGCAGGCAGAGTGGAAGGAGAGCCCAGGGAAATCATGTGGGGCAGGAAGGCTGCCAGATGGTAGAGGCAGAAGGAGGGGACTGCCTGGAAGGCCAAGTGAAAGGCACAGCTTTCAGAGACATCTCCATTTGTGGAGAGAGGGGTGAGTGTGGAAATGTGGAGGGGCAGTGAATGAAAGGAGCTGTGCTGGAGAATATTGGAAGACAGGAGGCTTAATTTTGAATCTAGACTGTCTGCCTGAATGACTGAAACAGTAAATACTGCAAGAGAGCACATCAAGGAAGTTGGTCTTACTACAGCAGAAGGGTGACCACATGCTGTATTTTAGAGAGTTCATGTAGTGGTCCCAAGGAGGAGAATTTTTCAAGTGTCAGAATGTCCTCATTTGCTCGTGTTCACAGATTGTAGTGAAATGTTACTGACTTGTGTAAATTTTATTTATTTTAATTATTAAGACCTCTGATGAGTCATTATAAATCCAACTTCATAAATAAAAAAGGCATGGTCTCTTTTCTTTTTATGAAAGAAAAATACTAGCAAATTCATGGCCCTTTCTTCTCTTTACAATAAAATCTGTGATATAAATTCAGTGTTTATCATATCTAAACTTTAGACTGTCCTTTTAAATAATATACATGCACATCACTTCATGAGTAATTGATTTATTAATTTAGACCAAAGAGTTAATTGCCACTTCAATTAAACTCTTCTAACAAATGAATATAAAATTAGGTCCTCTTATGATGAAAATTGGTTACAAGTCATAAGTAAGCAAGCTTCAAATCATGAGGCTCCATTTAGATTTCATTAACCAAATGCTTCTGACAGAAAGATAAGTACTGAGCAATATTCAAGTCTTCTAAAGCATAAAACAAAGCAATATTCATTTGAAAGAGGAGGAAAGAGTAAAATAAAATGGAAACAAGTGAAGAGTTTTCTCTTTCTGGACATAAAAAAGAGTTTGTATGCATGAAACTGTGAACAGACACAAGCGTAGAAAAGAATGCTCTCCGTGCAAGAGGCAGGTATCTTCACAAATAAATCTGCTTGCATTCCACCGCGCTGCTGACAGCCCTTGGTCAATGTTGAGACCATGCCACCTTCTGGTTGCCATGTGAATGACAAGCGCTGGTATTGTTTACAGACTGGCATTCCTGTTTTATGCAAAACTTACAGTGAAGGAAACCAGCAGACACATCACTTGTGCTGTCCCCTTGGGGACTGTGTCAGAGTGAGAACACACTGCGCAAACGTACTCCAGCTTCTGCTCTACCTGAAAAATCCAAGTATTTTTCACCTTGATCAACTGTAATGGTAGATGATAAGCCATGCAGCAGTGCAGACAGGAATGCCATTGCAGGAGTAGGAGGTTTGGTTGCCCATCTTCTCCCTGGTTGCACCTTCCCTGGTTGTGCCGAGGAAATGGTGCTTTGCAATGGAAGCAAAGCCTCTGCCTCTCAGGAAAAGCCAGCAGGAGAAGATGCCGCTGTGCTGCAAAGCTGCGAAGTAACAAATAAACATGTAGGCTGATTTCTGGAGAACTATTAATGCACGTATGGTCAAGTGATGATTTGGACAATTGTATTGTCTTCAAATGCCTCTACAGCTGCAGTTGTATCAAGGACAGTGTCATGGCCTTTGGAGTCTTGGCTGGCAAGATGAAAACAGTAATGACACAGGTTTGCCACCAAATTGGGCACACCAGGTAGTGGGGCTTGTCGTGAATCCATGATCACCAATTTCTGCCTGTATTTACCGTAATTTGCGTGAAGATCCTAGTGTTTAAAAAACTAGACACAAAGGAAAGGTGTTTTTCCTATGTGCATTGCTTATCAGCGTGTATTTTAAAATTAGTCCTAGAAACTTCGAAATCCTGTAATATTTGTAAATACATTTGCAAAGACTCATATATCTTTAGAGACAGAGAACAGTTAATTGCATCTTTTTTGTACTTTATCATCATAAACTGTCAAGATTTCTTGGAGAAGGAACTCAATGCCTATTTGCTGCCTAATTTCCATCTGCCCCCTACCATCTCCGTTCACATGTATGAACTCTCAGCCCTGAAAACAAAAGAGAAAGTCAATAATACTACTTTCCACAGGAAAAAAAGTAGAGCTTTCCTATAACAATCCAGATGATTTCTTCAATTTTCTATTTTATTTTTGTCTCTGTTGACCAAACCACAATTTTGTTTCAAATTGACTCATTTCTGAATCTGCAGATAAAATTACCAATAAAGGAGTAATTGGAATAAATATAGATTTACTTTAAAAATACTAAATTCAGCTACTGTCTTAATCCTAGCCCTAAATTGGGGTTTGTTACATGTAAAATCTGATTATGAAGAATAAAGTCTTAAAAGATACATTGTATTCTTTGATACTGTGATTTGAGCAACTATCTCTAAGATGATAATATGTAATCTATTAACTGGTGATTTCTTACTTTTTTTTTTTTTTTTTTTGTAGTTCTGTATTACTTGTACCCTTATACCGCTTTGTTTTGTTTTGTGTTTTGTTGGGAGCCGCCGACACCGGTCGCCTTACTTGGCGGACGTAGGGCCTGTGGGTGGGGGCGGAGCCTGAGCTAGATTGCCCCCCCCATTGAGTGAGTCAAGTTGGCGCCTGCTTCCTGCCCCCTGATTGTGCTGGCGACTTAAACAACCTGCTCTGTAAGATAGTCTGCCTAGCAACAACTGATGTTAGCCAATCAGCCCGCATCGCGCGCTTTGAACTGATTGGCCACTGTCACCCTATAAAAGTGAATGCCTCTCCCGCCACGAGACAGGAAGCACAGAGAAAGCACAGAGAGAGATAGAAAAAGTCCACCGGCGAGAAAGGGCTGGTGGCAGAGAGGAGGCCTCGCGGGGCCCACGTGGAGACAAATAAAGGCAAGGTTGCACACTGTCAGAATCTGTCGCGTGTTCTTCCTGCAGGCCAGGAGCGACATCGACATTTGGTGACCCGCACGGGGACTGATCAACCCCGAGACACGGCGGTGGTGTGCAACGCTCCAGCGTGGTGCTGCCGGACAGGTGAGTGGGGATAAGCCTGGGCTCTGGGTGGCGCGCACCTACAGGGCTTTTAGACTCCCCTCAGGCTCACGCGTAGGTGACGGGTTCTTTAAGTCACACACGGTGAGTAACAGCCCTTAGAGGTTAAAAATGGGTAATTTACCGAGCGCGGAGGCGCGGCCCTTGGTAAAGGCCCTTAGGAAGCTTTTAAAAGCTAGAGACCTCAGGGTAGGTCAAAAAACACTGAAACTATTCATAGCAGAGGTAGATAGGGTGGCTCCCTGGTTTTTACCCACGGGGCATTTAAACCTGCCGTCATGGGAGAAGTTAGGCGGGGACCTCGCTTCCGCGGAATTGGAAGGGGATATTTCGCCGGCTATTCGCCCCCTGTGGGAAATGATACATGCGTGCCTTGACTCCTATGCCGAGTTGCGCCGCGAATTGTGTGCGTGCGCCGCTCGAAAAAAGCAGAGAGAGGAAAAAGGGCCCCTGAGAGCTCTCTGGCGGGGAGGAGATAGAGAGCCATCCGCTCCACCCTGGAGCTCTTCTCCAGAAGCAGCTCCCCGCCGAGAGGCCGCTACAGGGAACCCTCCCTTCTCTCAGCCGGCACAGGAAGTGACGCCCCGTTCCACTCTGTCGCGACCGCCGTCCTATGACGTTGCGCTGCGGGGCGGACGGTATTTTCATGGGCGGCTACTCTGCCGAGCAGGCTGAGAAAAACGCCGGTTGAGGAAACGGGGGCTGGGGATTTAGCTTAGCGGCATAAGCGCCTGCCTTGTAAGCAGGCAATCGCGAGTTCGATCCCTGGTACCGATAAAAAAAAAAAAAAAAAACGAAAAAGACCAAAAATAAAAAAATAAAAAATAAAAAATAAAAAAAAATAAAAAATAAAAAATAAAAAGGGGGAGTAAGCCAAGGCCTGCCTCCAAAGGCGCGGTTATCTATGGCATGACAATGGATGGGCCCGGATCCGGTGGTTAGCTGGAACCGAGGCGCGGTTTGTGTTTTTCTGCAGGAATCGGGACGAGAACCACTGTGGGTCCCAGAGAGGTTGCGACAAGTCCCTCGACTGAAGATCAGGCCTGTTCCACCAGGGGCCAACCGCAGACCCAACAACAAGATGAGCCCTAAAAGAACTGCAGGACAATCCCTTTTTGGGGAGCCTGGAATGGCTTGCTCCCCTATGTTTTACCATTGTTAGGTCCCCTGTGCTCCTTGCTTCTGTTCTTACTTGTAGGACCATTCTTGCTCCGATGGGTTACATCATTTATTAATGGGCGCCTTGCGGCGGCCTGGCGTCAAGTACGCCTGGTTGCCCATGCGGCCCTGGCAGCAGCCCGTGATGGGCACAATGACCCCCAGGCTTACGCATGGCTCGCTCGACTGGCCTACGACTGGGTCTAGGTGTGGCGGGTCTTCCGCATTCCTTCCCTAATGACACCACACAGCAGGGTAGGTGAGTCAATGACGGGTAAGAGCGTGCCTCCCCAGCATGACTCGACCTAAGCCAGGCCCTACCCCATGGCGCACGAAAGCCGCTGGATTACTAGAATCTGCCCAGATCTAGATGCCTCTCCGAGGGGATCACACGGAGGGGCATGAGTGCATGCCTATGTGCATCCAGGTTCCGTCCAGTTCACTCCTGGCCCTGGAAAAAGGACGAGGGTCTCAAGGCCTTGGCAGACCCGGGGGCGGCCGACCAGGGTCCAAGCCAAGGGCCTACGGTGGGCCTCAACACAGGGCATAAGCCTCTGCACTCGATCCAGGGCAGGCTGCGATGCATACATTCATTCAAAGTAAATAAAATAGGGGGAGATGTTGGGAGCCGCCGACACCGGTCGCCTTACTTGGCGGACGTAGGGCCTGTGGGTGGGGGCAGAGCCTGAGCTAGATTGCCCCTCCCATTGAGTGAGTCAAGTTGGCGCCTGCTTCCTGCCCCCTGATTGTGCTGGCGACTTAAACAACCCGCTCTGTAAGATAGTCTGCCTAGCAACAACTGATGTTAGCCAATCAGCCCGCATCGCGCGCTTTGAACTGATTGGCCACTGTCACCCTATAAAAGTGAATGCCTCTCCCGCCACGAGACAGGAAGCACAGAGAAAGCACAGAGAGAGATAGAAAAAGTCCACCGGCGAGAAAGGGCTGGTGGCAGAGAGGAGGCCTCGCAGGGCCCACGTGGAGACAAATAAAGGCAAGGTTGCACACTGTCAGAATCTGTCGCGTGTTCTTCCTGCAGGCCAGGAGTGACATCGACAGTGTTTTTCTCTTTGCCCTTTTAAATAAAATTTTTAAAAAAAGATGTATCCTGATTTTAATTACATTGTGCCATAACATTCTTTGCCAAAAGTCATGTACAATTACGTTATGTGATAGAACTAAAAGAAAAAGACCAAAACGTCAGATTGACAAGGGTATAAATTCATGTTACAACTAAAACCACTGATAACCAACTCAAATTTGGTGAAACTCAGGAGCCAACTTGAAGGAATCCTATGGACCAAACCTGGGACCACTTAAGAATCAGAAGAATAAAATTTATAACCAGCTAAATAAAATAAAGAAAATTCATAATTTTCAACCAATAAATAAATGGATTGAATAATAATTAAATGGGTGAAAAGGAAAATCTTTCCTTTCAGGTAGAAAGCAACTGATAAATTTGGAAGAAATTATGAATTCGAAAATCACCATGTGGCAACCATTATAATTAACAATTGATTTGGAGAAGAATCATTAGTGGGCATTATGATGAGTGGCTGAAAATTTAAGATGATTTACCTGGAAGTAGAAGAGGTTTACAAGTGCCCTGCTAACCAAACTAATATCACCAGAAAATATCTAAATCTATTCAGCGCTTTCTAATACAGTGACGGAAAAAAGATCAACACTGCTTCCAAAAGCCAAAAGTAAAATGTAAGTTCACAACAAAACATTAGACCAACTCAAATTATAAAATAATTTCTTTACACTCAAAAACTGTCAATGTCATGAAATATAAATAAGAAACTGAAATACTGTTCTAAACTTTAAAAAGCTTCAGTGGCTAAGTACAGCCCAGGACTCTGGGATTCTTCCTTATATAAAAACATTAGGCCAATTGACAAACTCTGAATAAGGATCTGTTGTCTAAATAATTGCATTTTCTCAATATTTGTCTCCTGATTTTGTTAATTGTGTTTGTGGCTATATAAAATGATGCTTAGTTTTACAAAACACAGAAAATTAAGTGAATTCATCTCTGTAATTCACTCTTAAATTACTCAAATAAAAATTAAATATTCATATTAGAAGTGTTATATGAGACTTTTTTATACTGTTCTTACATTTTCGTAAGTCTAAGATTTTCAAAAGAAAAAAAATCTATTAAAAATTGATAAAGTTACCTTTTTTTGGGTTCATAACATGGAATTGTTACTTTGCCAAATATTAGATAGACTGTTTTTTCTTTCAAAAATTTGGAAACCATGCCTTCTCGGAGTTTCTTTTGCACATCCAGCTGCAAAACATCTTCCTCTTTTTTTTTTTTGGTTCCCACCTCTCTCTTCTTTCTAGCATTTGGTTCCTTTTTTCATTCAAAAAGCATCTGTAATTTGCTGAGTAATTGTCCAGTGTTTTGAATTGCTGGAAGCTCAAGAATTAGTCGGAGTCCACTCCCAGTATATAACACACACACACATTTCCAAAGCATAACCAAAGTGGAAAATCCAAAGGGGAGAATGGAGTGTTGATAAGACAACAGAAGCGCGCCATGCAGGCAGAAATTAGAAACCAAAGGCTCTGGAGGGGCAGCGCGTGGGCATTTGTGGAGAGATCTCCCAAAGACCTGTAACTGCTAGGCACCCGTCCTAGGCAACAGCAAAGCAGGAGCTGGGTCTGAACCTGGGTGCCCTCAGTAAAATTTGCACTCTATTATTTGGTGACAGAGAGCCACTGAAAGTTTTCAGCGACAGGATGCTCTTAAATGTGAATATTATGATGCTTGTTACTCAATTTCCCTTTCTAATGCTCTTACTTATTTATGTATTTATTGACTTTCCCCACTGAATGACCACCTCAGATGCTGGGCTAGTTTCGGGCACAGGTGACAAAATAAGAAATGTTTCCTGTCCTTACAGAATGTTCCCATCCATTTTTTCCCTGATGTTTTCAAAACTCAAATCTGGGCCATATTTAAAGGCCCTGGTACGTTGCATTAGGTTTGTCTTTTATTTGTGCTTAATCTCTTTCTGCAGCTCCTAGACCTTTTGTTTTATTAAGCTAGCAGAAGGAGAAAGTACTTGACATAAACTACAATGCAATGTGAGGCAAACTTTAGCTTTTCCTAGCTAGTCCTCCTGTAGCCGATTTAAACTACACTCAAAGCTTTATACTCAGTGACAGCAAGCAATATTGAAATTATAGGATTCTCTAAAAGTTGTCTTTTTAATTCCTTTACTTAACAATATTCTCATCACCTTAGCATTTATAAGATAAAATAATTGTGTCGTTGGTATAATTCTAAAATGTGGCCAGCCATTATTTTCAATTATTTTTTTCACAATATAATTTGACCATTTCTATTTCCGGCTTATTTCACTAATTAGGTTAATAGCCTTTAGGTCTAAGTACTATAGTATTTTATTTCATGGTGTTTGAAAGCATCCTGCATGGAAAATAATTTTCACTGAATAAATTCCCATCTCATCACTACTTTTAAAATATACTTTTTAATCAAGGTTAGCCAAGGACAAATACTTCAGTTAGTTTAGGTTGCAGATTTTAGGGTAAGCACCAGTGGACAGGCTACTGAGTTAAAGATTTGTCACAGGGAGGAGGAAATTGAAGAAAGAGTGTCAGGAGCTCACACGCTGGCTCAGTGGCGGAAGCTGATGCGGGCCGGACCCACTCACTGTCTCTCTTACTCTGGTCCAGGTTATTCCCTGCCACGGAGGAAAGGCCCCTTGTAGAGAGCCCAGAGTGTCCCGTGTGTGCCATTGTTATGTTTCTGTGACCCTGATATAGTGTACCCTACTGTACTACAGGGAAGATGATGTGAGTCCACTTGGAACTTGACCTACCTCACATTCCAGTTAACCTGGCCGCGCTCACTATTTACCCACTTGAGCCTTCAAATTAGAGATAAAATCCAATCCTAACTCAGAATTCACCAAATCTCACAAAAGAAACTGATTTCAATGGCACAGGCCTAGAATTAGACAACCAGCATCTGGTATGACCTCAAGATCCTAACCCCTCTGCTCTTCTGCTCTGCTGAGTGACCTTGGGAACGTGATCTGACCTCCCTGAGCTTGGGCCTCCATATTTGTCAGTGAAGCAGGATAAAATTTACTCTGTGATATTGCTGTGAAAGTTTTAGGAATAAGCTTTTCACTAAGTATCAATTAAAATCTTAAGTAGTGTTAATGTTACATCAAACAGAACTCTTGCTAGTAATGTATTTCAGCAATTTGCTTGTAAGAGAAATGAGATTAACGATTTTTTCTTAATTTTAAACATAGAAAACACTAATTGAATCCACATTTTAAAAAATTGATTTTCCAGGTAATTCTTTTACAGGGCTGATAACAATGAAGTAAAGTATAGTATATAGTAAGTAAAGTATATTCCCAGAGGAGTGCTATGAAATATTCAAATGAGAGAAAAGGATAGGAGGATTTCTTTTTTTTTTTTTTTTGCTTTTTCCTTTTCATCAGTACCAGGGATCGAACTCACGACTGCCTGCTTGCATGCTTGCAGGGCAGGCGCTTATGCCACTGAGCTAAATCCCCAGCCCCAGAGAGGGGGATTTCAAAGTCTTTTCCTCCAAAGATTTTCTTTTCTCCAAAAGAATAAATATTTTACATGTTTAGAGCTTTAATTTTTCATGTTCAGATATGTTGAGAATCTATCATTTGCCAAGCTCTGGGGATGACAAATGATTAAGCTACACTATAGTATAGTACAATACAGTACAGTATACCCTATCATGCCCTGTCATATCATACTAATATTATATTTCAGTATGAGTTTCAATACAGTATAGCCATATCAGTGGGCAGAAGGGCAAATTTACTGATCTCTTGATATCTGTTCCAAATGAATGGCTCTATAAGAGATTAAGGTGTCAGGATACTGTGAATTTTGGAAAACTTCCTCTACTACAAAAGATCAGTTCTGGTTGCCAGTGGCAAAGGATAACATAAAACATGTTACGTGCTTTCATTAGTGCAAGTGGCTGCTACTGCTAAGATCTGTTTTCCATAGATTGTTACCCTTTAGTGATAACAAAGTCTCCTATCCTTTACAGGCTCTTTTCTTCTCCTATTGAAATCATTATCATTAATTCTTACCCATTTCCATAAAATAAACACTGGCAGGTCACCTAGAAAAGAGATTCTCTGATATTTACATGTCCTCCCTGTTGGAAATTGGAGCTGGGGCTGTGAGGTGGACTGAAGCTAAGGGACTGCGAACAAAAGAGGATTTAGGAAGCTCTCACCACAGGCAGGCCCTGAGACAGGAGGCAGGCCTTTCACCGGCTGCCAAAACTGGAGTCGTTCTCAAGCTGTTTAACTTGTTATTATTTCTCTTGTTGGCTTTTCTTTGAAAATTAATTGTAGATGTGAAGTGACCATGTTTAAATAATTCATAAAAAAATAAATCCAGAGGAAAGTGGCAAAGGTAGAAAGAAACCCAGTGAAGTACAAAGCAGAGGTCGAGCTGGTGTAGTTCTCTGAGAGCCTTTCTTACTCCAGAGCGCTTAATTAGGCCTGCCTGCCTGTTTGGCCCTGGGTTGGTTTTGTTCTTTCAAGAGAGATGTTGACCTAATACTACAGTAAAACACACTGAGAAGTAGCTTCTCACAGTGCATGAAAACATTTGTAAATGCTGTTATTTTGGCACAGAAGAAAAAAATCAGTGCCTTCTGTCTGAGGGAAATTCATACATTTATAATTATATTTTATAATGTTATAGAATAGCCTTTTAACTCTATCTCACATGCAAACCAGTTAGACAACATTGTTTAATGCAAGCAACTAAATGCCCAGAAGAACCTTAACTATGAAAACAAGAGCTTCTGCAACTTTTGGAGACTCTTCCAAGCAGACAATTAATTGAACTAACTCGTGGTGCCTTTGTAAAGTTTATAGCTGCTGGCACTGTTGCTTTGCTTACAGAAGCATTTTAAATGTTGTATCCTTAAACCTTCTAGATCAATTAGCTTGTGATAGAAGGCAATCTGTATGTCTAAAAATACTTTTTTAGTGCTGATATATTATTTTCAGTAATAAGGATTTAAAAAAAAAGAACTAATTAGTA